CAGGTTTTTTTCAGCTAGGAACACTCCCCGGGTATAAGAGATGGCCCTGTGAAAATTGCATCCAGATCGCTTGGGCGGTTTGGCCGCCTATAGGGAAGATACATACATACATACGAACTCAAATATATATTAGATAATATAACGCGAAGGGAACTCTTACCATGTTGTACATGCGGTATAAGCTGGATTACTTAATACCAATTTAACAGATTAACTCTGAGGGTATGTAACTTGCTAGTATTGAGGTGTAACATGGGTTTGTTGCAGCACTTCAAATTGCGGCACCTTCAGGATGTGCACCAAGCTGCGAGTGCTAAGACTTCACTGAGGTATAGCAAGAAAAAGCCGCTGTCTTCACCTGTACCAAAGAACAAGCTGCCGCATCTAAGACACACGTGAACAATGAAGTGTCAGCTGTATTAGAGGATAAAACCAAGTCAGCGCAGCTAAAGACTGTGGTATGTAATAGAGATACACGAATGAGTAACTCGATCAAACATAACTGTCTGTGTGTGTATGTGTGTGTGCATGCACTGTGTGGGTGAGGGTGGGGTGGGGTAGGGGGGGGGGTTAATGTTGGTTTTTTTATTTTTAAGTTGTACATAAAAGTTACAGCAATGCAATTTTGTCTTACAATTTAGCGTGATGCTTAAATTTTGCAATTTATTGTAGGGAGCTTTGTTATACCCGAAACAATCGCGAGAGATTAAATAGTGATATCGTAAGAATTTAAGGTATGTGTGTTAACGCTCGAGTCGGATGTGGGGATCGGTGTGAGGGTTGACGTGTACAGAGAGCGTGTCGGCCTAGCATAGGCAGATCCATGCACATTCGTGGGCTGGGTAAGCCATGGCGTGTATCGGCGGATGCTTCACGAACGCGTGCTGCTCCTGATGCGTTAGACTCGGCTCCTCTAGTCGGAACGGTGTGTGGGCGGATGTGTGCAGTCTAATGTTAAGGCTAATTCAAATTTTCTTATTTCGCCCAACATGTTCTCAGCTGCCTGCATGTGCATCACATTAATCTTAATTATCGGGGAGAGAATCGCCGATCAGTACTTCACGTCATCATCGCGCCTCCAGGCAACCATTGATGCACGCGTTCACTTGTTCACGCTTGTACGCGCACGCCGTAATCTCGCATCTTCCTTTCTCTCCTATTTGCCGGTGTATCAGGGAGGACGCTACGGTAACAGCTACCTGGACCAGATGGGAGCACCTCCCTTCGACAGGCAGCCGTACAATCGATCTTTCCCGTCAGAGTTCGTACCAAGGAGGCCGCAAAACCGAGCCGTGAGTGTCGTCTAGTAAGTAGCGGCGTAGTAGAGGTGGTAATGGTCGGCGTGATGAAAGGTTCACATGCGTCGCTTCTCGTGTGTGTAACTGGGCGGCAGCTTGTCAGGCTTAGAACCTGCTATTAGAGTGTATATCAAGCATGTACAAGGCCCACGATTTACCGTTCATCACCTGCTAGTTTGCTACGTAAACACCCGAGCAAAGCGAGTGTAACTTAGCAAAGCTGGCCATCTTACGACACAAGTTGTATCGTGAAGGCGGTATCATCATACGGATCGTATCGTGAAGGCCGTATCGTAATACGGTTCGTATCGTGAAGTCTGTATCGTGATACGGATCGTATCGTGAAGGCTGTATCGTGATACGGATCGTATCGTGAAGGCTGTATCGTGATACGGATCGTATCGTGAAGGCTGTATCGTGATACGGATCGTATCGTGAAAGCTGTATCGTGATACGGATCGTATCGTAAAGGCTGAATCGTGATACGGATCGTATCCCGAAGGCCGTATCGTGATACGGATCGTATCGTGATACAGATCATATCATGTAGGCTGTATTGTGATACAGATTGCATCGTGAGCTACCTGTGTAGTCCCACCCCTATCTATAACAACCGCGTGTCTTTGGTTCGCTTGCAGTTTGAGAGTTCGGTCGACGACTTCCTACGCAGAATTAAAGCATCGCGGGGAATGAGTCATAGCAGCTCATTTGGTCACTTCGTCGTCGGAGCATCGCGACGGTCGGTGGAGAGGCGAGGACGGATGCGGCGCCAGCATGCCCATTCTTAACGCGGTGGTCGCGCGCAGAATATTTTAAATATTTCATAGATTTTTTTCGTTTTCAAGAGGAGAACGAATGAGACGTTCGTTTAGTTTTCTTTTTCCATTTCGCTGCATTGGAACTTCGCGTGCCATCACGCAATGCGAGCGTGTATGTTCTGTAATTCTATTGCGAGCAGGTAGACACGTACAAGCGATCCACAATTCTTACTATGCGTACGTGTGCTCATGTAGGAAAGTGTACAGTGAAGGTGGTGAAGGTTTCCAGAGAGGTGAGGTCGTGGAACTTCTGCGAGTTTTCAACGGGGAAATTGTGTAGTTGATTGTAAAAATTCAACTGCTTTTTTAAAGAGGGAAATTCGTGCATAAGAATACCTATTGTTATGTGAGATGGTAACCCCTGCATAACGCGTGTGTGTGTGTGTGCGTGCGTGCGTGCGTGATTGAAGCAGTGGTGAGTGTCGTAAGCTGGTTATCGTAAGCATACACCTGATCTTAACAAGTTCATATTGTGACAAATATGCTTGTGACAAATGTACTGTGCAGATGTGTGTTTCCCATTTTGAAAGGCGCCAGGATTTTGTGTTGGATAGTTGTCAAGGTAGACTTTGGTGATGGCATAAATGATTAGAGCAATGAGATGCAACATAATCATGAACAGAACTGAGAGATTAATCTCCTTATAATTATTCCTATTTATTTTATTTATTTATTTTATTTGTAACGCATGCATCTTTCGTGCGGGCGGAAATAAAAGAGAATTTAGAGTCATTCATGACTCATTGGCGATGCCGTCCTCATTTTAATGTGATTGTTTGTTTTATCTAACCTAATGTTATCAATCTCTCATGCACTCTGCTTTTTCGCTGTAACTTCTGCAAAGCATCTGTTGTTTGCTTGTTGTAGCAATAGCATTTAGTACATGTTCTTGGTGTATTTGAATATTTCTTGAAATGCTATCTGCGCAGCTTTTCAACTGGTGACAGCAATTATCCCTTTCCCAGGACTTCAGTTTAAGTTGGGTGTAAGTTATTGTATTTATAACTAAATGACTGATACGTTTGCCTTTAACAACTGCAGTATAACGTGATTTTTTTAGTGTGCGCGTGTATTGTTATAAATATTGGAAGGACGGGTTGTTGTATTTTATGGCGACAATAATCAGACTGCTGCATTTCATCTTGATTTCATCGATGTAGTTTGATTTTAGTTGTATTGCGCCTTGGTGTAGGTGAAGTCATGTCTCCTGCCAGCGGTTGTTCAGAGTTTTGCCTTGTCAGTTGTTATTCTCACATTCTAGCATTTTATCATTAATGTGTTTGAAATTAATAAATTCGCGTATGAGCTCACGTTATGAGCTAAGAATTATAAGTAGAAATCACTTGAGACCATAGGTATTCATTGTGCATACTCTGTCAGGGCATGTTGATTAAGCAAGCTTTCTTTCATCATGTGCGTGCTTGTATGTATAGTCGAAAGACGGTGGATAGAAGGTGGCTCTTCATTCTTGTCTCATTTTACAATCTGCATCTCTCTTCTCGTCAGTGTATACAATTATGTGTCTGAGTGCTTGTATGTATTACACTTACAAAGAAAGGAAAAAATAAGTCGGTGGTAAAATAGAGCTCTGTTGGTTCTTTGGTTTTATTGCAGTTATTAGGGTGCTTTTGGTTGGGGGGGTGAAATGTTTTAGGTCAAATACGGCCATTTGCACGCCGTGCTATCGTTGCCGTAGGTAATATTATCTGGTAGAGGGGAGTGAGGAAGTGAGGAAGTGGGAGAAACGGAGACAGAAGAGTTGGTATATATCTATATAGCGCTCGAGAAAGAGAAAAAAATTGCGATAGAGAGTGCGTGCGTGCGTGCGTGTACGCATCTCCTCTTCATTCCTCCCTCCCTCCACCCCTCCCTCTTTTCTCTCCTCTTTCCATCTGCCTCTTATCGGTTAAATACACACGCGCGCAGACAAAAACGCACGCACATGCGCGCACAGACACGCATACGCGCTCGCAAGCACCCACACACATGCGCGCACACACCTACTGCACGCGCACACACGCAGCTCTCTCAATTTCCCTCAATTTTTTCCTCCCTCCTTCTCCAAATAATATGATCCACGACCAGACAAGCATGAAACATTTTCATGAGCCAAAGGGCTGTGGCTATTTTATTATGGCAAGGGATTTATGGCTATAATACGCGTTTTTACAGCCACAAAATCACACATACACACACGCGACCGGGCGCGCACACGCGGGTATGGTTGCACGCGCGCGTGTATTATAAGACTTATAAGCGTAAATTGAAATTTTGAGCCTCGAGGAGTGAAAAAGTTTCGGCTGAAATACGGTCATTTTGCTGCCAAAGTTTTTCCATGCTTGACTGGTTCTGGGCGATACCATTTGAAAGAGAGGGGCAAATTGTCGCGTCCGTAATGTACGTATGTGTCAGGCAAATTTGTCATATATGCAAAGAATATTACGAATGTGTGGATATAGCAATGTGGACAGCGCGTTAGTAAGTGGGTAGCCATAGCCCGTGTTCAAATCCCGGCCGGCAACAAGTGATTCACGGCAAAGTAGTGCCCTAGCACTTTGCCTTTTACTGAAAACTACCACGATTTGAAAAGGAATATTGTGACGCATCTAAATTTGTGACATCCAAATTTTAGTTAACGTAGATTTATTATAATCCATATCATGAACGCGCATGCTACTGCACATGCTCGTGGACTTAATACTAATCACAAGCTATTATAAATAGACGCACAAGTAAAACGCGAGATTGCATGATTCCAAGTACATTTGACATAGATAATAGATAACAGTTGACAACACAAGAGGTACATAGTATTGTAGTACTGTAAAATGGCTTAGTTATTAATGGAACGTTCTCCAATATTATATCAGTATAAATACTCAGTATACGTCAACCAGAACATGTGAAAATCAAATATCGGCATAATATACTGTAGGGTAATGGGAGGCTATAACCTGTATACTCACACCGAGAACCGTACGCATTATTCCGAAGACGCACTAACCAAAATCGTATGTATCTATCTATCTAGCTATCCATTCACCTATATATCCATCCACCTATCTATCTATCTAGCTATCCATTCACCTATCTATCTATCTAGCTATCCATCCACCTATCTATCCATCCATCTAGCCATCTATCCATCTATTCAACTAGCCATCTGCCAATCTATCCAACTAGCCATCTGCCCATCCGTCCATCCATCAATCCATATCCATCCATCCATCTACCTAACTGCTTATCTGCCCATCTATGTTTCTAAGCACAGCTTACATTAAATAGATGGCCTGTTACTACCAACACATAGCTACGCTAACAATTTAATTAATTCATTATTAGTTAATAACATTAATTAAATGACAAAAACATAAATAAATAGAATGAACGTCACATCGTTTAGAGGTGAATACTTAAGTTTTGTTGAAAATACGCTCGTGGCGTTTAATAATTGGAATGCAGCCGGTCATACATAAATATATCACAATGTCGGAGAGCTGTCTACGAGGAAACGTTCCACTTAATACGCTGTCTATTCAGTAGGAGTAGCATTTTCCGAACACGAGCCAGCTTCAGGCGTGTACATGTAACTCTCCTGCTACGTGGTTGGGGTCGTGTTGATTCTCCTCGGCACGTCCAACGAGACGATTGGCACTGGAAAATAAATTACCACTGTACTGTAATTATCATATATATATATATATATATAATAATAATAATTATAATTACATTGTGAAGCGTGAATAAACATGTGATCATTATTCCCCTTTAATAAATCGCAGTTAATAGTAATTGTTAGTTACTGTGCCAAAGTAACGTTCAAAGTCGCCACAAAGCCATGTGTTTTTAAAAACAAATCCTTCACATATCTAATGCAACTGAACATGAATAGCTATATGAATACTGCCTGTAGATTATAATATAATCTTATTATACACATAGACTATCTTTTATTATACGCCTTGAATAACGATCAAGTCCGTTGTCCGCACGATAAATCTGCATTAACTTACGTCAGGTTTGTGTTACTTCCAATTAGGAGCCTTTCAAGTCATGACAGTTAAAAATTCCTGCAGGGTGGTGGGCGGGGCCCGGCCGCATGTCCAGGCAAGTGTCCGTGTCCTCCGTCCGACTCTGCAGGTTCATGTACGCGATACTCCTGCGCGCGGAAAAACAAGCAAACATCCGTTACGCCGATGACCAAGTCGTCCGACTTCTCCAGCCTGTTTTTGCGTGTAATTTATTGGCATCAATTAATATAACAATAATTACTAACCTTGAAATATTTTATGACCGTATACTAAATATTATTAACATTATTATTATTAATTAAACTGCATTTTTGCTGGAAATTTAACTCGATTAAACGGTACAAAGACGGATCTTCGTGAAGCCAGATGCTAGCGCTACCTACGGACTCAAGATCTTGCATGGGGCGATCTGTAGCCATGGCAACGTGCAGAACTGCGGATACTTGGTGCGCTGCTGCTGCTGCACGGCGTCCGACGGCAATGACAGTTCCGTTAGTTCGTCATCGCTGTGGTAGGTGGCGCCACTGCCGTCGAGCGCAGTGAGGGCCTTTCATTCGACCAGGGCGTAGTCCTTGGCGGAGTCAGGACGGTGAATGTTGTCAACGTTGGAACCTGCGGGAGACGGAAGGGCGAGGCTCGTCAATTGTTACCCTCGATTGTTGTACAGTAAAACTCGCATAGGTTGACACTTTTGGGACCAGCATATTTGTGTCGACTTACGAAAATGACGACTTACGCGTAAGTCGTCATTTCGTTGACTTATACAATGTATGTAATGCGCGTATACGCTGTATTAGCTGCTTTGCGATCGCTGCAATGGATATGCAACGTTTTTGCTTTAGGCGCCACGCTGGTGGCATGGAATACATGCAAGAATGCATATCCGTGTCACGCCGCGCGCGTGATTTTTTTTCCTAGGTGAATCAAGAACATAGGGCTGTAATGAGCGCTGCTATTGGTTGAACTTGTTTTGTCGCTCAATGACGTCACAATATCGTCATATACATAGCACATCCAAAATTCTTACTTTTGATATAACTCGATAGATTAGCACGTACAGCGCGGATGTCAAGTATGAAAGATCGGAGGATCGAATACCATCCGTTTTCTAATTATTTTCCTGTTTTCTGTATTTTTCTATCTTTATCTGTTTAACATTTTTTTTCCAATTAACGCAAATATTTACATGATTTATTTACAACATTTTAATAACAACAATTAATTTTTACAATTAAATATATTTTTTTTTAATAGGGTTAGGGTTAGGGTCACAATGCACCATAAAACAGGAGTTTGAGGCACGTGATTTGTATCAACCAATGGCAGCGCTCGTTAGAGCCCTATGTTCTTGGGGATTCTATGCTATTCTATTCCCTATTCTATGCGCGGACGCTACGGGTAAAATGTTGAAACGTTTGCCGCCTCGTGGTCGATAACGTAAGAGCTTTGAACATACATAGAGAGGTTGGTAGAAAGAAGAAAAACGTTGTCTGCATAAAATCGTCAGTGTAAACCCAGCTTCAGTACTGTATAGCAGAATTGATTTTCAGGGAGTCACACGGACGCCTGCATATGTCAAATCAGGGAGTCCGACAGTAAATCAGGGAGTATTTGACTCGATCCGGACTCGGATCGATCTCTCTCTTATATCGCACCTATTAATTTCGCACCCTACTCTGCATTGGTCTGCATACACTATATACACTATATAATACACTGTTATGTATACAGTGGGGAATCTGGGGGTGTGCGAGCTGTGAGCCAGAAAAAAAACAATGCGTCCAAGCGAACAATGTGATTCAAACAATCCGTCTGCGACAGTCAGCTCCTGCATTCCCTAGAACGTACACTGCGCCATTGGCATTTCAGATGACGACTTACAGATGGGAAATTACTGTTGTTTGTATTACATGGGACCTGTCTGAGGGCGTCGACTTGTACATTATAATTGTAATAATGACGACTTATAAATGTCGACTTAGGCAGGGCTATTCCAATGGATTTACTATGAGAGCGAATCGGGACTTTGACTTCCTTGTCGACTTACGCGAATTGGCGACTTAAGCTGCGTTTACACTATCGATTTTTGTTAGCAAATCGTAGCGATTTTAAGTGCATTGCAACTTGCCCCCGACATGACCCAAGTGCATTCCAAGACGTTCGATTGTGTTGGAGTCGGAGTCGGAGTCAAGTCGCCGAGTTGGAGAAATAGAACGTGTTCTATTTTGCATGACTCGGACGATTTTTGCTGACAAAAATCGATAGTGTAAACGCAGCTTTAGCCGATGTCGTCGACTTATGCGAGTTTTACTGTAGTTTGTTGTGTGGTTGATGTTTTCGTTATTGTTGTTGTTGTGTTTATGTAGCTGTTATTGTCATAGTTGTTGTTTGAATACCTGTTGTTGTCATTGTTGTTCCTGTTGGTGGTTTTCTCTCTGCCCCCGTTCTTCTTTTCTCTTTCTGTCCCCCCTCTCTTCCTCTGTCCCCCTCTCGCTTTTTTCTCTCTGCCCCCCTCTCTCTCTTTTCTGTCCCTCTTCTCTTATTCCTTCTGTCCCCGCTCTCTTTTTCTGGTGCATGAGTGAACGGCGTCTACCAGGGGGCGCTGGAGCAGCTGCGTCCGCTCGTGGGAGCCGACTACGTAGAGATAGGACAGAATAGCTGCCGTGCTCCACGCAAGCCGAACAGGAAGGCCCCGCTCGCGTGGCGCCCGCTCGCACGGAGACGCGAGCGAGCGCACGCGGAGTCTGAGGGCAGATGCCGGCGTGGCTGCGTACGGACTGATGGAGCGTCGCATGCAGAAAGGTGAGTGATGCGTGCGTGCGACGTAGTGTGCCAGCAACACGCGTGCCGTAGCGCAATGACTGTTGACAGTGGCAATGCCAGTACAGTACATGTAGCTATATATACCACCCGGCTGCCCGTCTGCCCGTCCTTCCAGCAATCCATCTGCTTGTCTTGTCTGTTGTTGCCATCCATCTGTTTGGTCGATCGTTGTGTCAATAAGCTAGCAGCACACACCTTTCACACAAGTGCCACCACGAGCAATTTTCGTGGTGAAATCAAAAACCGTTTGCTCTCGGCAACTCGTGGTCGACCACTAATTTCCGTGTGAGTGGTCGTTGCTGGCCCCCGCCATACTTGGCCATTTTTGTTGGCGACCACGAACAATTGCATGTACGAGCATACGAAATGCCGTTGAAGTGTGCTCCCGCTTTAATCCATCCGGATAACATGCTCTTCACCCATCCATCCGTCCGTTGTCCATTTTCATTCCACCCGTCTATCGATGCCTGCATCCCATCCATCCATCCACCCACTCACCCACCCACCTATCAACCCATTCATCTATCCATCCATCCATCCATACACCCATACATGCATCTGTAACTACATGTTGTTAAACCTCGATGCTTGTCCTATTTGCCAGAAAAGGAAAGCTGGAAGTAATGATAAGCAGGACAGCAGCAAGTTAAGTCTCTGCCTGTATCCTCCAGCGTAGCGACACATCCAAAATTAAGGGGCCAACGCAGCAGACAGTATTAGTACAATACACCAACAACCAGCAACAACAACAGTTACAACAGCTAGTAGGTGGTATAATCCAACAGTGACACCACACCAACAGGAACAACCATGGCAACAACAGTAATTTAACAACAACTATGACAATAACAGCTACATAAACGCAACAATAACAACAACAACAACAAACAACAACAGTGACAACAGCTAGTGGTGGTAGTATAGCAACAGTGACACCA